AAATATTTTCCTGTTTCTGTATTATTACCATGCTATTTTTGATCATTTCTTTCCTTCATGTATATATCTTACTGTCCTAAATCAAACTGTAAATTCCTTCCATGAAAGGACATTTCTTTTTAATATCCCCAGGACAGTGCTTTTCAGATCTTCTAACTTCATATACCAGCAAAATTTAAAAGAAGGGGAACCAAACTTCTAGAGGGTGGTCAAGGGTGAACATTAATTATCACTGTCATCTACTTGGGTTTTCTCTCCAATCCCATTTCACATGGTTACAGCAAATACCACCAAGTTCTAATAGTACAACATAGTTTGTTGAACAGGGGAGGAATGGGTGCTAGATGAATCTCTTCCCTGTTGTCTGGGCTAATACTGAAAAAACCGAGAGATGCTGGCAGCCTTATTTTCCATTAAGAGGACTAGGAAGTGATCCTCTGCAGCAAGAGAAGAAATAAAGGAAATGCATGTGGAGAAGAGAGAGATGAAGTGTATCATGCTGGTACTGGATGGAATCCTGAGTCTCAACCTTCGGATTCCCTCAGATACTCCTTGCATCTTTATAATAAATCTTACCTCCTGTTTATATCACTTAGATGAATTTCTATTACTTAGAGCCAAAAGTAGCCTACTTACTACAACTGCCATCTACTCATAAAGGGACACTTTAACAAAAGTTGAGGAAGGACAGAACCTCAGATATTTTTTTTTAAAAAAAGGAATATTTATTTAATGACAGCTGTGTGCCAGGAACAGGTCTGAGTCCTTGAAATATAGTTAAATAAAAGAGCTACAACTACTGTTTCCATGGGGCTTACATTCTAGTGAGAGTAGACAGATAATAAAATAATATAAAAATACAATTTCAGATAGTGATAAGCGGTTTGCAGAAAATTTTTTAAAGGTAATGAGATAGAAGGAAATAAGGATAGTGTCATTCTAATCGGGTGGTTAGAAAATACTGCTTATCTGAGAAGATAATATGTGAACTGAAACCTGAAATGATGAAAAGGAGCCAGTCATGTAGTGTTTTAGGGAGAGAATTCCAGACAGAGTGAACAGTCCTAAGTCAGGAACAAACCATGACATTTCTGAGGGACAAAAAGAAGGGCAATGCCGACAGAATATAGTGAACATGGAGGATGCTACAGAAGTGGTAAAGGAGTAAAAGATCTAAGAGGAAAGGATGTGAGTTGGGATCAATTCATGTATAGGAACTAGTAGGCAGTGGAAAGAATTTGAATAACTTGAGCTTTACAAAAAACACACTATATTACCTTTAATTCTCATACTGCCTTGCATCAGTGATAACTTTAACAAAACAGGCCTTAAAAATTACCATCCCCAAGCATTTGACACAATCCTGAAGTTAGCCAAAAAGGAGTATTTCCTAAGCAGAAAATATCATTTCTAGTATACCATGAACATTTAAAAAAAAAAATTTTAGGACAAAAGCAAAGCCATAAAAAGAAAAATCTAGGATGATAAAATGATAGAACTATAAATTCTATCCCATCTACTATGATCAAGAATGTACAATGGTCTTAGCTATGAAAGAACATAAAACTTAAGCTCTTTATAAGCTACTATAAACATAACATCCTTTGTTTACTGAATACACTATTATTGAATTGGACATTGCCAAAAGGGGAAACCAGACTTCTGACTTTAAGAATAGCCACAATATAATGGTCAACAAAGTTGTGAGTTTTAATTTTATCTTTACTATTATGAAAAAGGAAGAACTTCCCCTTTGTGGTGAAACTGGGTACAAGGGATGCTGTGATAGCTCCTCCTCTGAAAGCTTTTTAAAATAGAAGACCAATCTGTTTGAAGAGGTCCAGATATAGTACACCTATATCTCCAGATCTTTCCAGACAGCTAATATGTGTACACTAAGCATGTAATTAAACCTACATTGCTACCAAGATTAATGTCAGTAAAGTCAGACTTTGAAAGCTCTAACGTAGTCATGAATCTCATCTTTCATCATGTGAGATATTTAGTTAGCTCACTTAACAGACCAAAAAGTAGACTGTTAATAACACAATCTATAAAGAGAGATACTTTGTGAGTGGTGGTGTGAGTTAAAAAAATAAAAGTCACTAGACACCTTGATCAAGACTTGATTCAGAGTGCATCCTCCTCAACACATTTCCAGCAGTTTGGCAAAGTGCCCAGGGATGATTAGCAGCCAGTGTATGTAAGGGAGGGATATGGTCAACCTAAAGTGTATAAAGTCTCCCCCTAGTGGTCACAGACAAATAAGAAGAGGGGAAATCATTGCAGCCTCTGTGAGACTGATCAAAAATACACTGTACAGAACCTGGTCCCTACAAGAAAGAAATAAAATTTTTAATTCAATACTAGCAACCTATCAGTAAAGAGATTTTTATGCTTATCTGCTCTTATGATATTCATAAATGTAAAGCCCATTTTTGGAAGGAAAGAACCTACAGGTAAAATAAAACTAGCATATTTTTTCTCAGTATATTTTTTTAAAGGAATAAACAGTATCTTCAGACAGCCCAGTATTTATCTAAAACAGGCAGATGTTCACGCTTCCTGAAATAAATATCAGCACATCCCTTGCAAGTTAACCATATTTACCTGAAGTAGAGTTCTGGTGCAAATTTAGTCATTTACCAAATGAATTGCCTTGAAAAGGAAAATTATCAGTGCAAAACACTCTTTCAAAAACCACTTAGAACTAGATAATTTATAATACAGTAAATGATGTCAAATATACAAATGGGTTCTCTTGCTTCTTTTAATATTTGTTTTCTTGGTGTTTTTACAATTGGATAGCCTTTCACCAGCACTAACCCTGTATTATTTGCAACTCTCAACAATAATTTGCTGTTACTCGCTTTTAACAAAGCTTGGATGTCAAAAATGTGAAAGGCGTTTAATTAAAACATCTGTTGTCTTCTAACCATCCATTAAGTGGTAAAGTACATTAAAAAAAGATGGTAAATACTCCAATTTAAAAACAGCCTTTTAAAAAGGTAACACAATTATGGTTGTCTTGGTTATCCCAAGCTAAAAAGGGGGGGAGAGGGGAAGGAGGGAGAGAAGCAGGGGGTGTAGTCTTCTGGAACAATTTCAGCCTGAAATGAGACTCAGGAAAAATAAAGCAAACTGCTCCCTCAAATGTTTAAGAAAAATAGGATTCATTTTTTTAAAAACCCAACAGTTGGCTCAAAGAACAAAAAAAATGATTCTGTCTTATTTAGCACTTCCAGACTTAATTTTTCCAGTGTTTATTTAATCTAAAATGTAAAATAATTCATTTTCAAATTCCAGGTGAGAAAGGAACTGAGTAGCACCAATTGGAAAAGGACACACACACACCCGTGGATGTTTTTTCATAAAGATATTTAGTGTGAAACCCCAAAGGACAAAACAGAACAATTAAAAGTGTTACCATTTGAATATTATGTAACCCTAGTCTAAAATAAAAGAAACATGGACCTTAAAAAGTAACATGTTGTGCAAACATATTTTTAAACATGTACTTAAATACATGATAGATTTCAGATACAAATCACCTCAAAATGACACAACCCACAAAAGTTCTTTGTTTACTGTAATGAGGCCTCAGAACATATGACTATAATCAGGCCTGATACCTTACCATAACTGCACAGGAGGTACCTAAAATAAGCAATATTACCTAAGGTCTGTTGTTATACGTAGTACCGCAACTATCTCCGCATTGATAACACTGTTACCTCGCCTAATATATTCGACATACATAAGTTTCCAAACGACGATTTGAAAGATTTCACGGGTAGAAATGGCTGCTAAATCATACTCCAATTGAAGAGCATTTTAACACACCTCAAATGTTCCGAGCCATATTACAAGACGACCAATTCAGGAGGCATAAAGTAAAATTCCAACAATCCCCAAAGGCGTAGGAAAGAGTAAAACGTGGCTAGCTTGACCTTAACAGGCTGTTTATAAGTAATGCGGAGAATTTTCTGAGCTTCCCAATCAGCCTTCAATTCCCTTCCTCGCTTGTCCCCAACCCCCTTAAATAAATGCATGCCCCAACTGATGAAGTTTAATGGATGTAATCTCCAGCTGTAATCCCAGGAGCTGGTGAGATTGAGACTAAACTCCCAATAAAGTGTTAAAAAAGTCCTTCTGAAAAAAAAAAAACATATATATCCACCAACCAATCCACAGCCTGTCATCATACCGGCCGTATGATCCCTCAATCGACTCCCTCCCGGCCCTCCACCCTGCCAAAAAAAAAAAAAAAAGCCCCAGTACCTTTCTGGTTCCAGATTATGTACCCAGGATCCGAAAACACTGCCTCAGCAGCGAACGCCTCCGGAGCAACGTGTGCTCGGCCCACAACCACTTCGACCAAACGAGTCTCGTGCCTCGGAAGTAGCAGTAATAGTTGCAGAAAGCCTCCTCCCCCAAGAACTTGGGGCTCGGGAGCACGCCAGAAGCCGGCTGAATCGCCCCCTCTCGACACTGACCCCGAAGGTGTCAGTCACTGCAACTACCGCCCCCGGCGCTGCTCCCCATTCATGCCTTAAACGCCACTCCCGCCGCAGAGGGTGTAGGCGCCCGCGCACCGCTCCCGGCCCCGGAGGGGGCCCCGCGCGCCCCCAGCCCCAGCCTTGCCCCAACCGGGGCCGCGCCGGGGAGCGCGTGGAGAGAGCGGGGCGCCGCGCGGCGGAGGGCAGCATGGGCCAGACACGTTGCCGCGCTCCGGCCCGCCCGCAGCACCGGAGCCAGGGGCCCGGCAAAGCGCGCCCTATCTGCGCCTGCCGGGCCGGGTCAGGCGCGCTAGCAGCCCTCCCCAGCCGCGCCGCCTCCGCCGTCCCGGCCCCCCGCGCGCCGAGCCCAGGTGCTGAGGGGGCGGGGCGGGCCGGGGTCCCCGCGTGGCGCACGGCGACGAGCAACAGGGCGCCCCCCCAACCGTCTCGGCGCGCGGCGAGACCGTTACCCGAGCAGCGTGGGGGCCCCAGTAAACTCACCGGCTCGCACCTCGGCCGCCTCCGCGCCGCCACCGCTCCCCTGCGCCCGCCGCTGCTGCTCTCCCTCAGCCGCAGGCGCCGCCGAGCAGCCCCATCTACAAACTCGGGGCTCGTAGTTGGGAATTGGAAAAGCGGCTCTCACTCCTCTCCGCGCCCCTTCCCTCCGCCCCCTCCCTCGCTCCCCACTCCGCCCCGGCTCCGGTCGCCGGCGCCGCCGCCGCCACCACCGCGCGCTCGGCCAGCCTCCCCTCAGCCGCCCTCCTCCTCTCAGCCGCCCTCCTCCTCCTCCTCCGCTTCCCCCTCCTCCTCCTCGCGCCGCCGCTGCCGGGAGCGCGCTCCCTCCCGGCCTCGCGCGTGCGCCGGACGCCGGGGAGCGCGCGCTCGGGCGCGAGGAGGCGTCGCCACCTCCGCGAAGCCCGGCTCCGCCCCTCCGGCCGCGGCGCGGCGGCCAGGTGGAGCCCCCCTCCGAGCGCCCGCAGACCGCGCCCGCGGCGCCGAGGCCTGACTGCGCAGCTTGCGCCGGGCGGCCTCTCCCAGGGTCTCCCGGCGCCGGCCGCCAACCGCGCCCGCGAGAGGGTCGGTCAGACCCAATCCCCCAATCCGCGCCTGGGCTTCCGTCCGAAATCGCCGCTGTCGTTCAGCATTTACTGATAGGCGAGGTTCTCCATGGGGCATAAAAGAGGCTCTTCCCTGCCCTTTCCAAGAGTTTACATTCAAAGAACCCAGTCATGGGGCACAAAGCATAAACAGACTCGAAGAAAAGCCTCTGGAGAATCTCCTCCCTTCCCCTTCACACACACAACCCTGGTTCTGATGTGTATTTGGCAGGGTCTACAGCGCTGAGGTGTCCTTCACGAATTTTCTCCCAAAGGCCCAACTGGGGAGTGTGATTCACACCCGAGGAAATGGACTGACATGAGCTCTTCTCCTAGCACCCAGTATCCCGTGGAACTCCCGGAGCCGGCTTCGCTGGACATCCCCAGGACACCAGGCGCTCAGCTCTTCCCAAACATCTGGCCTTCCCAGACCTCCGAAGGGGTGACTTCGCCATCCTTGCCACCTCAACTCTGACCCTGCGGAGAGTATGGTGAACTGTGAGGAGTGTCCGGGGCTGAGATGACACATTTTGACAGGAGCGCAGATTTAAGTTTTCAGCTGAAAGGAACTGAGCAATGCAGTGCAGCAAAGACTCTGGCCAGAAAAACAGCAAGGATTCCAATTCCTTTAACATCTACCTAATCCCAGATGTCTGTGAACTGTCAGACCTGTGATTGGGGGCTTTTGAAACAGCTGTTGTGTTCTTCCTGAAATTGGAGAAACTATGAAGATGTTATTTAAATTTTACAAAATGTTTACTGCAGTCCTTTCAAACAGTGGCTGTAGAAAGTGCAAATAAAACTTGACATGTGAGGAATATCCCATCCGGAGACCTCTATGCAGCCTTTCTTGGCTTCTCTTGGGCGTGCTGCACAGTGCAGCAAAAGCAGGATAGTATACGGTAAATGTTTGCAGAATGAGTGGCTGCATCGTGGTCCTTTGGACTCAAAGATGGAGTTTCAAACTATGTAGGCTCCCCTCTCTGAGTGTGGTTAGCATGAAAGAGAGGGAGAGAAAGTGAAGGTCTAGTTCCCTAAAGAGTGTTTTTTTCTCCTTAGCCTCAACCAAGTATCAAAGATTAATTTATTTTTCCAGTAGGATCATTAATTTTGCAAACATGCAGGGGGAGTTTGTAGAGTATTAATTGAGAAACTTCTTTCCTGGAACAGCAAACCTGAGGAGGGGAAATTGGAAGCATTTATGGAGACTTGAAGGTACTAAGGGGAACAGAGTAGCTTTGGGCACATGTGCTGCCCCCGCCCCCCCACCCTGTAGTCAGGCCAGCTGGATGAAATGAAGTAGAGTGGGTGGTGTGCCCAAGAGTGAGGCAAGGTGGAGGCAGAATGGAAGAAGGAGGTTTCTCTTTTCAGAGACTCGACATAAATTTGACATCTTCCTTTTCCTCCTCTTTGCTTCCCAGGCTCATTTGCTTCCCACAGGATACCCAGTGGCTCATTCCTGCTGCACCCCACCCAGGCCTCTGAACTTTTATTCTCCCTTCTGACCCCCAATTTCACCACATCCTCTCCTGCCCAGCTAGTGCCTGAAGCTCCTCTGGGGGGAGGGGATGAATGTCATTTTGGGGTGTGTTTTTGATCCCTATTGTGCACTTTTTTTTTCTCAAGGGTCTTCTGGAAACAATGTCCTAACTTCCTACTCTACCTCCATTCCCTGCAAATAGGAAGTTTTGGGGAGAGAGAGACGGGAGTCTCTGCCTCTCAAATCACATGTAGACCTTGCTGCCTTACAGCTAGGACCAGCCCTGGCTAGCTCCCTTATTCTTGCATGTACCAAGGACCCAGCATTTGGGAGCAGGAACAATTATATTTTATTTACAATCCTAAGTTTATTCTCTAAATAATGACATCAGCTATTAGATGGAGGCTTATCACAGTTTTCTGCCTCTGATCCTCAGAGCCAGAAAAATGATTTTGCTCCACAACTATTGCTTCAGTTGCTTCTCTTTAGGATTCTCTTGCCAGTGAAGTTTCTCTTTCAGCATCTATATTTTATCAAATACTCATATACAGGTTATATTATGAAACACTACTTTTTATAAATAATATGCCACTTTATGACATTCTGCCCTTCCTCTAAACTTTAGAGGTGGGACATGCCAGAATAAATTTAAAGTGATCTAATAGGAACATTGGAACTCTCATCATTGCTTGCTAGCCCACCTTTCTGAGAGGTCATAATTTCTGAGATGCTACCCATCCATTTCCCGTATCGTTACAACTTCTTCATTCCAGAAAGGGGAATGTTATGATTGAAAATGATGGGGACTCCTTCTCTTCAGTGTCCTTAATGATCTGACTTTTCATTTCCTTCAAGGTTACTCTAGAGGGATAATTTCATCACAGCCTGATATCTCCTAACCATAACTCAATTTAAAGCCTGAATTTTGATTCTTAATTCCAGAGCATCCATCATTGGCTTTATTTCCTCCTTCTAGTATAAACAAAAGCTTCCATACTTTTAATATGATTGTGTTTTCTTTTCTCTTCTGACCTGCTTTGCTACTTCAGAAACTGAAAATTTTACTAAAGAACAAGCCCCAAATTTTAGCAGAGCAAGTTACTTGCTCGTTTTCCAACTAATCCATCATAATAAGAGCAGTGATGCTCCTGGAATATAGCTTTATGAAAAATTGCAACTGACATGCATCACAAAGTCCAGCCAAGCTTTCCTCCAGAATACTTTATTTAGCCTCACCCCTTTTATCTCTGTTCACTAAGCTAGGTCAGACTCCAATTTCCAGCCTCCTTGCTAACCTTTCTAATTCAAGTCTCTCTCTTGCTTGCTTGCAATTTTCCTTACACTTAGAACAGTGCTTCTTGCTTTTGGCTATTTATTGGGATCATCCAGAGAACTTTAAAAACGAAAAAACAAACAAAAATCACTAATAGCTGGGTCTTGCCTCTAGATTTAATTGTTCTGGGGTGCAGCATGGGCACCAGGATTTTTCAGAGCTCTGCAGGTAATTCTAATATGTAGCTAGAGTTAAGAACTACTGAAATTAGTCATCTTCCAAACAACATTTATACCAAGTCTTCTCAGAACATTGGGGTGGCTCCAAATTACCTCAAGTAATCAAATTAAAATACCTAATCCTGTGCTTTAAGACTCTTTGCCAATTGACTAGAATAGTCCCCTTTCAAAACAGCTTAAATTTATCTCCTTCCTAAAGCTTCTCCAGATTAGTCTAACCTGGCTGCCTAAAGATCGCTGTTCCCCATTCTCTGAGCATTCCATCTGGCACTGGTTTACAAGCCCCTGGACCACAGTTCATTGTGTATATTATTGTTTTAACCCAGCTTTCATAGATACCTGTCAGAGGCTTTTCCTGTCATCTAAATCTGAATTCCCACTAGGTCAACAGACAATCTCAAAATAAACAGAAATGTTATTCTTAGCAGAACTTTCTTCTACCCATCTGAAATCAGAACATTCCCTGACACAACGGCAGTTCATTTTTTGATCACCACAATTAAAGCCAACAGTTATAAAAATTTATGTGTTTGGGGTTCTTTCTTGTTTCTTACAAAATAAGAACTATATATCTCAGTATATCTCCCTGACTCTCCTTACCACCACTCATTTACTTTAGATAATGGAATTTTCTTCCACACCCACCTCTCTATTAAAACTATGTCACAACTGACGTTTTCATTCATGTGTTTATTCATTCATTCACTCATTTGTTAGTGATAATTGCTGGAAATAAAATAATTAACATTATCAAAGTATCCCTACCTTATGGTAGAGAATAATAAGCAATTAAAATATCATGTGATAAGTGCTATATCAGGAGTCTTAAGCAGACACAATAGAATCGTGAGGGGAGAGTCTTCGCTTAGTGTTCAAACAATCCAACTTCTCTGCTGTGTTTGAAGAGGTTGACCAGCACACCTGTACCTTTTAAACCTCTCCTTTCCTTTCATTCTTCTGATACTATACAACCCAGAAACTTCTTCAACTTCTCTGACTATTCCTTGTCTGACCCCTTGTTGCGTATCTCCTCCCACTTCCTAAATTAAAATATTACACTAAGAAGGAAGAGAGTTTTGAGGGAGAAAGTGTAGAAAAAGAGACCACTGCTTCTCTCAAGAATATCATGACCCTTAGAACGCCATCTTCAATGCTTCCACATCTGTATCTACAGTTCTACTCTCCCCTGAGGGATGTTTTCAACTTCCTGTTGAATGTCTCCAGCTGGATAAGCCATTCAAGCTCAAATTAACATGTCTAAAATAAAATTCATTGCTTCTGCTACCCTACTCCATCCCCTCCTTCTGCTACCCTACTCAATCCCCTCCTTCTGCTACCCTACTCAATCCCCTCCCTCTGCTACCCTACTCAATCCCCTCCCTCTGCTACCCTACTCAATCCCCTCCTTCTGCTACCCTACTCAATCCCCTCCTGCGAATTTGCACCTCCCTTTCCTCACCTCTTTTTACCCTCTGCATAACAGAGACAGCCTGCACCCAGGTCCCTTGAAGTTCACCTTCTCAATGTTACAGGAGTAGATTCTCTTGTCCATTTCCTCTAACCCTACAGAGTCTCCTTGCCCAATCTCATGAGCACCTGAATGCCAGG